TTTACATAGAATTTTTTGTTTATGAATTTTTTTTTCTAGTATGTCAATGTTCATTTCACTAGGCTCTTTGAAAAATTTATTTCTGTATTATAACCATCTTGATTTCTGATATTCCTGGGAGTTTTTATCGACACTGCTATGGCTGCTGGCTTAACTTGGAAGTTGGAGGGGTTGATGAAGGACCTCTTTGAGAATCTGAAGAATTCTCATAAAAGTACACATAGGCATATACCCTAAATTATACATACATTGCTGTCTGTCCCTTAAATCCTTAAATCTTAGGATAGAGTCACTTAGAGTGAAAGATTTGACAGTTTTTTAAAAAAAAATAATATATATATGATAAAATAGAGCTCCCTAATAATTTGTTAGTATTTGAAATTATAGTTTAATTATGTATTGGTATATACTTTTTCATGAAATAGCTAATGATTCTTGTAAGCAACTTTTATTTTACAGGGTTAAGTAATATATAATAATCAATATAAAGAATATAAAGAGTACATGAACCTGACATACAATCTGCTTATTTCTAGCATGTATATACTCAGCAAGAGGTGCGAGAACTCCTTGGTCGCTTGGATCTAGGAAATAGGACAAAAATGGGACAGAAAGGATCCTCAGGGTTATTTCGAGCAGTTTCAGCTTTTGGTGTTGTAGGTAAGAAATTTACTGCCCTTTTATTATGCTTGTCTATGCAGACACCCCCCACCCCCACCCCTCTTTAGGAGCATTTACAAGGCTATGAAAACTCACCACCGTCAAGTTGATTCTGACACTTGTTGACCCTCCACCAGGTTTCTAAAACTGTAAATCTTTACAAGTGCAGGCTGTCCCATCTTTCTCTTACAGAATAGCTGATGGGTTCAAACTGATGCTCTCTCAGCAGCCCAGCACTTAACCTGTTACACCAGCCAGGCTCCTTCCAAGGCTGTGAAACTCAAAAGCAGACTCACTGCCACCAAGCTGACTCAGACTCATGGTGACTTTCCACTGGGATTCTTTAGCTGTAAATCTTAATGAGAGGAGATGTTGGTTATCAGCTTAGCACTTAACACTGCCACCAAGGTTCCTTTCCAAGGCTTTGTAACTATATCACTGCAACCCATTATTTGTGGCATTGGTTGTCTAAACTTCATTATTCGCCTATCAGATCAAATGGGCATCTACACCAGGTATCTGCTTAGTACCATGCTCATTTTTACATAGGAAATAAGCAAATGAAAAATATTGAAATTATTCTAGCCTGTTAGAATATTCCAGACTGCTGTTTAGCTTGTTAAGAGGAGAAAAACAAAACTGAATGGCAAAAATCTGCCTAGCTATTTAACAGTTGAAAAGAGCAGACACAGATATAATCGCTGCAAAGGGAATGAGAAATTCTCCCAAAGTTGTGCTGCTGCTGTCAAATGTCATACTCTCCTTTTTTAGTGTCCACTTCTTTTACTCTCTAGGAAGTTTTGTTCTTTAAAATCAGAGGCTGGCAGGAACTTTGCTGTCTGGAACGATATCAATAAAAGAAAACCTCCCACTCTTGCCTGGAGGATCCTAAGCCACTTTATTCAGAGAAACAGCCTTATTTCGTATCCTGGGGGCAGAGCTTCAGTCAGAAGTTTCTGGACATGATATTCTACACATCTCTCTCTCTCTCTCTCTCTCTCTCTCTCTCTCTCTCTCTCTCTCTCTCTCTCTCTCTCTGTTTCTCTCTCTCTCTGTCTGTTTCTCTCTCTCTTTGTCTGTCTCTGTTTCTCTCTCTCTCTGTCTGTCTCTGTTTCTCTCTCTCTCTCTCATTACCATCCCATACATTGTGAGCTCTGATGACCTAATGGTTAAGGAGTTATTGCTCCATGAGAGAAAGTGGTCATTCTCCTTCTGTGCAGTTTTCCATCTCTAAAAACCTACTGGAGGGTCAGCTATGAGTTGATTCGAACATGACAGCAATGAGTACGTACTGACCAGTAAATTATCACGTGTTTCCATGTTCTATTAGTTGGTCCTTTCTATTATAACCAATAAAAAGGAGCCCCAATAGACTAATACAGGTAATTATTACTCTTAGAAGGTCATGTTATGCCAGCTCACCTTTACAAAAGCTTACTTTAGAACTTGCTTTCATTAACCAGCAGAAATCCCCAAATAATTTCTGCTATTATGGAAAAGAACAAAACCTGAAACTAGCCTTCAGAATTTGTGAAGTGGTGCATCCCAAGCATTGAGAGTGGTGTGTCCAAGCTCCTTCCAGGGAAAGTACACTCAACATCTCAGCTCCCACTCCCCATAGCTGTGAATTATGTCTGTCAACACTTATGTTAGTGTTATTTTAAGCTTTCAGTGCTGTTTGGTGTGATCTGATTTGTTTTGGGGATCTGAAATGATTCAAGTTTTCCCCCATATAAATGAATGGTAATTGCTTCCTTGCCTTAAACCATTTTGGGTTAGGAAAGATTTCAAAAGAATGATGTCATTTCAGATAGCAGGACAGCCCCCCCCCCCATTACTTTTCCTAACAGCATTCATTTTTTCTAGCAGGATTATTGTAAAACCTACATTCCTTTTTCTAACAGGATTACCTTAAGCTCCACTAGGGTGCTCAGGTGGCCTGGAGGATGAAGCTGGTGGCTCGAGTCCACCAGCTGTTATGCACGAGAAAGATGGACAATGTCTCCTGTGCAGTTTAAAGCCTCTGAAAACCTGCTGGCTGGTCAGCTATGAGTTGGTTATGACTCAGTGGCAATTAGTGAATGAGTGAGTGCTGTTCATAAGTTACAAAGTAGTTATTTACTACTTTTCATTGATAAAGCTTCTGTGTTTCAGGAAAGCCTTAAGGAAATAAAATATTTAACTCATTTCTTTCTTCAAAGGATTTTTTTTTCAATTTTATTTTTTTAATTATTTTGTGTGTGTGTGTACCGTCAAATCAGATCTGACTGGTACAGGAGGAGGTTGCCCCTCCTGCTCCAGCAGAGCATCTGGTGGATTCGAACCGCATACCTCTGGGATTACAGTGCAGCTTCTTGCCACTAGGCCACCAGAGCTCCCTTCTTCAAAGGATTTTTAAACTGTGTATCTAAGACAGAAAAGTCATACTGCTCCACATGTTGCTACAGCTTAAAACTATAATAAGTAAACAGTTAAATTTATGAAAAATACAAGACAAAAAGATGAAATATTTGAGTAAGTTTCTATAAAGTCTTGGATTTGCTATGCTCCAAAAAGTGAAGAAACCCACCATATAATATACAGAAATAATTTCCTGTCTTTTAACAAGATTTAAGCTCTAGTTTTGTTAAAGCTGCTTCTGTGGAGCAGGTGCTTCCTTTATCTGTGTCCATTTATTTAGTAGTTTTATTGATTTCTGGACAGATGTCTCCGACAAAGGCCATGAGGTTATCCAGATCTCATCCCTGTTGTGCTGAGAGTAGATCTGTGGAACAGCCGTCTTCTCCTGGGTCTCTTTCTCCACTTTGGTGGTGCAGCTGCCTTGGGATCCCTTCCATCCTCCGCCTGCAGTACAGTTCAATGTCAGCCTGAGCTTCTTTGGCTTGCTTCAGCTTCTGGTTCTTTAATTTGCCATTTGCATTGCTGCTGGGTACCTTGGAACAGGGCGGCCTCAGTGGCAGTGACCTCTGTATGTTTATGTATTTCTTTATACATATTTTTTAAATTTATATTGGTTTGCATACAAAATTTGTGTGCATTTTATTTCTTTTTCTTTTTAAATATTTTTTTTTACTGGGAAAAACATATTGGGGGTACAAGGAGATGAGGGTTGGGGGCAGAAGGGTGAGGATGGGCCAGGATGCAGTTGCAGAGCTGCACATTTTGGTCGGTTGGGGGGAGCAGGTGAAGGAAATGATGAGGGTCCAGTGGGGACCAGATGCTACAGAGGAATGACAAGCATTTTCCAATAGTAATTAAACCAACTGTCTTATTGATTTGGGAATTGGATGCTGACTATCTGGCTTCTTCATGCTGAACAGGGGCGTAGATGTAAAGGGGGAAAGGGAGGACGCTTTATCACCTTACTGGTGGTCTTGGGTTAAAGCTGCTTGCCTTGTTGCTCTGTTAGAAGATATTTTCCTGTCATTTGCTCCCCTCTGGACTGCAAAGTGTTTTCCCAGGTGGGTCCAGTGGGGATGGCTGGTTGAACCCAGAGGCTCCATCCTCCTTTGCTTCCTTAGCTGTCAGTTGTATTTCCTTTTTGTCACTGGCACTGGGTTCAGGGTCAATTCTGGAGTAAAACTCAGAGTTAAGGTTACCTATAGGAAAGGGAGCAAACCTAGAGAGAACAAACTTGTGAGTTACAAATAGAAGGGCTTTGAGGGTGTTGCTTTCAGGTTTACTGGTGGGGGGGAGGGTGGCAGAAGGTGGCCTAGGTAACATTCTCTGGATACCCTAGGCTTTCTTTTTTTTTTTTTTCTCCTTCCCCACCCAGGGATCAGATGGCACAATCTGGGGACTGAGGAACTTACCCTGAGGGCCACGATGGCTCGCCCCGAGCCGGGGGCCAAGCGCAACCCGCCCCGGGCAGAAGGCCACGACGGCTCGCCCCGGGCAGAGGGCCGAGGGCAGCCCGCCCTGGGCAGAGGGCCGCGATGGCTCGCCCCAGGCAGAGGGCTGAGGGCAGCCCGCCCCGGGCAGAGGGCCGTGATGGCTCGCCCCAGGCAGAGGGCTGAGGGCAGCCTGTCCCGGGCAGAAGGCCGTGATGGCTCGCCCCAAGCCGGGGGCGGAGGGCAGCCCACCGTGCATTTTATTTCATTCATATACACTGTTTTTCACACATTCCTTCATTCACATTGTTTTTCTTAACGACCCTTCTCACATATTGCATTTTATAAAACCAGTAACCATTGATTTTTATGTCCACTATCACTCCATCTTTTAAGGTCCCCACTGGAGCTTTCCTAATTCCTTTACCTTCTCTCTCCACTCAGCAAACTCAGTGACCTCATGATTAACCTCCTTCTCACCCTCAGTGCACCTGCTTCCTCCCATTTCCCCTTTGGTCTTTTACACATATCTTACTAGTTATCCTTCTATTTTTACAGCAATGGTTTTATGCAATATTTGTCTTTATGAGACTGAGTTATTTCATTTAGCAGGATGATCTCTAGCCTCTCCCATGTTATATAGTATTTTTTATTATTATTATACATTTTAATGAAAATTTACAAGGACTTTGGATTTCCATTCATTCATTGTTGCACTTTTCTCCCTGCCCACCCCCCGCCCCCCAGGTTGCTCTTCTCTTTGAAAAGTAAAAGAAAAATTCTTTAATTGTTATACAATCCTTTCCCCCAAGTCCACTCCACTATGCAGCCTTCGTTCTGGACTCATATCATGACAATTATACCTAATCATATATCCCTTTTAAATAGTTCTCTCCCTCATCTGTTTCATTGCAGTGTACATTATTTATCCTATCTTTCTCAGGCTACCCCCAACCCCGTGGCACCATGCAGTATTTGTCCTTTTGTGACTGAGATATTTCACTCAGCATACTATCCTCCACGGTCACCCATTTTGTATATTTCATGAGTTCTTTGTTTTTCAAAGCAGCATCGTATTCCATTGTGTGACTGTACCACTGCTTTTCTATCCATTCATTTGTTGATGGGTACTTGGGTTGTTTCCAACTCTTTGCTACTATGAACAAAGCT